TCGTCTTTTGTTTGTAAAATATATTAAAATCCTTTGAAGTGGGCAGCCATGCGCATTTTTTTTGTTATATTTTTATTTTCTATTGTCTCCTAAAGATCGTTTATAAAATGAATATAAATATTTACTAATTTTCTCTCAGATATGGAGAGGAGCCTCTTGGCTGAAGATGACAAGTAATGCATTGAACAGTTGTTCCGGAGCTTCTTCGCAGAGATTTGTACAGCTCTCAATTTAGTCACTCAATTAATTAGAGGCAAGGGGAAAGAAATTAATATAAGTTGACTCGATCGCTTGTAAAAATAAAGCAGGAATTCAGTTTTGGCACCTAATTGGAGCATTCCTTATTTTAACAAACGAAAAAGTATAAATATATTGTGGTTATTGGTCGAACCTCAATTAATATCAATTAAAGAAACGAACCGCCTGTGACTATATACTCGCCTGAATTTTAATTTATGCATTAACTTGCCTCTTAGTTTAGTTTTATGAAACAAGGCTGGCTGTGCGCCTTGTACAGGATTGCATAAGATAATTCTGCATGTGGAAAAGCTTCTTTGCTGAGAATTTTAAGTACTGTTTTCTACTAAGGAAGGCAGTCTTTTTAGTTCCCCAAGTCATAACACAATTGATCTATGACAGCGTGTGCCTGCAAAAACTCAATTTACATCGAAAATCCTCGGTAAATAACGGTTATCAAAAAAACTAACTTGCTGATCTTTAATAAAAATCATACGACAAAATCAAGTTAAAAAAAATCTTCGGCGAATTTTTATATTTCTCTTCGATTATTGTTAGTTTTACAGATCGGACGTCATAATTTCTTACTTAAGCCTTTAATGGCCATCTATATTGAATTCACGTCTTTGAAAAGTCATACTGAATAATAGAATAATTGTGATAATGACGTCTAAAAGAGACAGGCGCTTCTCAAACCTGTCAAAGGTGAACAAATGTTGAAAAATACTGTTTGAGGAAACGCGATAAATCAAATTTAATAACATCGTGTCGTGGGAAGAACGATGCAGCCTTAGTTTTTTGGGAAGCATCAAAATTGTGTTGTTCTAGTCACGAATTCTAAATTCTAAATACGGTAAGTAGTATTTTCTTTCCTTTGCAGTTTCGCCTGTTCAAATCTTACTTTTCTCTCTTTATTTAAGAGGTCTTTTTTATGCAACGGGTGGAGAAATGATTAGTCTTGTGTAGTCATTAAGAGAGATTTCTCACCTTATGGTATAGGAAGGTTGAATATTACAAATTAATGGTTTTAGCTCAGGTTTTTTCGCTCGTAAGGAGAAAGACAATATTTCAAGAGTTGTTCTCTCTACCACGTAACATGGCAACCTAACAGACTTTTCAGTTATGAACTAAGCGTGTATTTTCCTTCATCCAAACATTATAGGGATTAACTGTGGTGAATTCAGATATATGCAACTGTGTTAGTAACCTACTTAGACCGGCAAATTTGTTTTCTTCAGGCCAAAAAGAACAGAAAACGAAAAATAAAACCCTAAACCGCAGTTAGGAGAGAAAATAATAGCAGTTAAATCTCAAAATGAGTTTTAAAATGTACTTTTTCGGGACAAAAAAATCTTTTCCTACACTTGCTATACTTTTTGCGAAGTACTAGTTTTCACTATATTTCTTATTTTGTTTTATTTTCTAAATAACAGACATAATAAACAAAAGTTTTTAAATCCGCACCTTCCGAAAATGTTCTGTGCTCATCTCGTATTCACCGACTTGCCCAAAACCTTTTCAGCCGACCAAAATGAATCAAGACATTAGCGTTTTGTTCAAATTCAAGCTTGAGCTATGTCCAATGCGCTGCTGACAGAAAATCAGTTTTTGAGTTATTTTTAATTTTATTTTTTGTATCGTGCGATACCTGATCTACAGAACAGGACAGACACGAGATGTCTTCAGTGACTTGGTCCCATCAGATCCTTGTTTCTCAAATCATTTTTTTTTTCCGTCTAATATTGTTTATTAATTGAAAGGAATAATAGATTCTTCAATTCTGCATGCTGTCTTTCACCTGAAGGTCCCGTCCGTTGCCTACAAGTTTATTTTTTCACTCAATACTCTCGTGGCCAGTGAATGTTAAAGCTGACCTAGCTATCGGAAATACGTAGATGTCATATAACCTTGCAGAGAACTTGAAGGTAAATTAATTGCAGTATTCATTTTTCGGATGAGGATATAAAAGCTGAATAAAAGAGTAATTTTCCTTTAAAGTAAGGATCAAAGCTCGTTGTACATAAAAAAGTGCAGCTATCTTATGAAGCTCGAAATGAATACATTTTGTCTAGCATTCTGCTCTGTTCTGATGTGAAAGATGAATTTTACATGTATATTTAACATGCCAAGCAATAATATGTTAAGTCGGGAACATGTCCTTCCCAAGCTGTCGAATATATCCCTTTTTGAAAGCAAATTGAAATTATTACAATGGAATTAAGAGCAAGGGTCTATTCACAACTCAATTTTCCGGAAACAATTAACCTTATTTTCATTTCTGGTAAAGTTATGGCTAACTGAAGTTAGGTTCCATCAATGTCTATAATCTTAAAATCCTGACTATTTTCTTCGTAAACGCTGCAATGGCAACAAAAGATTCTTTTTAAACTAGAGAGTAATTAATATCGACAAGAGATTATCTATTCATCAGAGCCAGTTCGTTAATTTAACTTTGGTAGCTCAAGTGGTGAAGCGCATATTAAAATATTTACATAAACATCTTACAGTCAGCTTAAACCTTCTTGTGAAAATCTCAATGGACATTTCTTTCGTCGTCTATTTTTAAATTCTTTTTTCATTTTCAAAATTTGTTTAGCACACACTTTTTTGCTTGATTCTTGCGTGTATCTATTGCAACGTGTAATAGTCCTTTTCGGTTACTTATTTCACCTGTCATACTTTTTTGTAAGTTGTAACATTTTAATTTTTGTAATTATCCATTGTATGTTGTCAGTGATTAAATTCTTTCATCAAGCGGCGTTTCTGGGTAATGGAGGGAAGAGAAGAGGGGAGGAGAGGAGAAATTATTTCATAATTGCACTTTTGCTGTTCACTTTTAGGTTACACCATGACGGTAATGAGTATCTACACAGAGTCACTGACAGCACAGATCAGCATCACAACTGTGTTCACCATCCTGGTGCTGGTGGGTGTAATCGGCAACGCGCTGTCCTGTGTCGTCATCCTCGCCAACCGCTCCATGAGAACACCTATGAATTATCTCATTCTAAACCTGGCCGTAGCGGACATCATTGTGGTAGCGTTTGTCGCTCCCCGGTTCATTCTAATCCACGCCTTCAAGCACCCTGAGGGCATCCTGGGATCCTTGATCTGCAAAGTGTTCACTGGTAGCAATTTCAGCTGGCTGGGGGGCTCAGCGTCCGTGTTTTCATTGGTGGCCATTTCAGTTGAGCGATACTTTGCCATCATTCACCCTTATGGCAACCGCAAGCTGACCATGAAGAAGCTCAAGTATGTTGTGTGGGCTTGTTGGGTGTTCGCTGTTGTCTTCAACCTTCCCCTGTTCTTAACAATGCAGTACAACAAAGAAATTAACTTCTGCACGGAGTTCTGGCCTGAGCCATGGATGTCCCGTGTTTACAGCACTTCTTGGCTGGTTCTGATTGGCGTGATACCAATAGTCCTTATGTCTGTGCTTTACTGCCGAGTCATTCGCCGGCTTTGGATTCGTCCAGAAAAAAGCCCTCGCGTCACGCAAGCTGCGATTCTCAAGTCGCGTAAACGCGTGACAAAAATGGTGATTGCGGTAAGTGGATTGACTTAGTTTGAATAACAATCAAGATTATCTTTGTAGTATCAATGGAAAAACAGGGTCTGTTAACGCCACTGACGGCCAAATATGGTGCCTACCAGCATTGTCTTCGCATGGGCGAAACTTGTGCAACAACATACTCTATTTTCCTCACGGTCTAGATATAATTATAGACAAAATTACAGCTTTTCTTAAAATCAGTTCTTCATTCCAGGTTGACTCAAAAGGGTTTAGTGTTTCAGATCTTAGTACTAGAAACCCCAAAAGAACGGGGGTGAAGGGTTTTCTGACTAAAAATAGTACTTGACCCCCTGCATTACCCCACGAATCGATATTTGACCTGGCTTGAGGAGCAGGAAAGCTTTGGGCGTTAAGCTTCGGAAAATAATCTTCAGGGCTTCGGGAAATGGTTGTTTCTGTGGCCCCCCCATAGCAAACCAGGCGTTTCACGTAGCTGTGAGAACAATGCGGTGTCCATAACGTCTCTCTTAACCCAATATCTTTCTTTTTCTTTCGTTTTTGCCGTTCGTCTTTCGTCTTCAAGGCGTGATACGTTTTCCCCCAGAGTTCAGCTTATATCAGTTTCATTGTGGTCTTACTGACTGATTTGTTTCATCTAAATAAATTAGAAATAAATAAAATAAATTACAGTATTTAGTCAGGACGCCACATCAGCCTTAGATGGTTTTCATGTGGAGGGAGGAAAACGGGAGAACCCGAAGAAAAACCCTCGGAGTAAGGCGAGAACCAACAACAATCTCAACACACAGATGGTAGAGGTGAGCGCTCTCACCACTGCGTTATTGAACCCTGCTCCCCACTACCTGCTCATTACAATTGTATGCATTCATTTGGTTTCAGGTCAGCGCTGTCTACAGCATCACTTGGTTTCCAGTCCTGATCATCTACATGTTGAATTATTACCTCGAAAGCCAAGAGTACGGAAACATCACCTACATCATCGGCATTGTCATTGTCACCTTTAACTCCTGCGTCAACCCGTTTGTGTACGTGTTCGTCAACGAGCGCTTTAGGAATCACATCAAGCGACTGTTTGAGCTGCCATTTCAGAGGCAAAACCGGGTGCAGCTGGAACAACGAATGACTCAGGAGAGAGGAGAGAGTAGCTCACAGCAGCAACGACAAGCTCTTGAAATAACAGATGGGAACGAATGTTAGGGCTTATCACTGTTAGGTTGGTGCCAGGGGCATTCCATTTACGAAAGGGTAACCCAAAGAAGCGATTTTTCATATATGTAATCAGTATATATCTTCATTACGCTGTAAATCTTTCCTTAACAATTCATTTCGATCTTTTTACTTAAGACCAATTTGTAGAATTCTACTTTAATACTTGTATGCAAATACTGCAATCTGATTGGCTGTGCTATCGCTCAGGGAAGCGATCCCCATTACACAACTTACACAAGAGAGTGGTTACACTTACGAATATGAGCAGAATATTATTTGCAGAAACACATACGGACGGCATTACGGATGAGCAAATTAAATGGAAACAAACTTGGTGATCGAATGATGAAACAATTCTTTAACTCGGTTATCGCGCGCAAAGTATGGTGATTTGTCGATGTCTCGCAGATCAATTTATTTGCCTCAGCCCTCGGCTTCGACAAATCACTATATTTTGCTCAACCTCGTTCAATAATTGTTAATTATTTTACTTCTATAGTACTTGTTATTTTCTGTTGGGGGGTTTCCCCTGAAAATAACGCTTGCAAGCTGAGCCCCCTGACCGCCTAACAAATAAATCTTGGATTTGAATATGATCGGCGTGCATTATCAAGGCACGTGGGAGGTTGGGGCTGACAAACAAAATATAACTTGCGTTAATTCCGTTATCAGACGGGGATATGGTCCAAGAATGCACATAGAATAAAAGCTTTACTGGCTGTGCCTAAATATCAGACATCATTTCAAATGATCAGTCGTGTAGTATAAAGCGAGTGACATTGCAAAATTCCGCTACTTTTTATTCTCGTCATTCAATTGAAGTTTTTGGAAATCACGCTAATACACACACTTTAATGTATACTAAAGTTTCTTCCAGCATGCGTGGTATTGTTTCAAGGTTTTTAATATTGAATATTACGCGAGTGTTTGAGCATATTCAGTGATTACTAATTACTCTATAACTAGTATTAGAAAGTTACTCACTAAATATCGTTATTTATTCATTTGACATTGTTTTTTCTGGCATTTCCTACTTGGTATTAATATTTTATTTTTTGGTATTTATTATTTGTTTTTTTAGGCGTTTAAGAAACCAGGACGCGACGCCGAGGACAACGTAGATTTTTCGATCCTTCGTTTCTTATTGTCAAAACTATCACGACACTGAATCTGGGACAGGGCGAAACATTTGATTTAGAAATAAAAAAAACTAGCCGTCGTGGTTCACGTCCTCCGGACAACGCAGAAAATCGTCATTTCACGTTATTCGGGAGTTTAAGAAGCTACGAAGGCGACGCCGGGGACAACGTCGATTAAAAAATAAATTACTATTTCACCTGCAAATCTCTCGATATTCTTAAGTCATTTAGTTTGTTTCTCTTTGTCCAAACCACTTCGAAACTGAATATGGAACACAGTACAAAATTCGAAATATACATTTTAAAAATTATCCGTCGTGGTTCGCGTTCTCCAGACAACACAGAATTTGGTCATGTCACGTTGCTGTTTTGCAGAGGACGGTGAAGAAATGTACTAAGAATTATAACGCACGTGCAAAGCCATTGTTTTGCTCTTAAAACCTTTTGTTTAGCGACGTTCCCGTTGCCGTTGCCGTCGTGGATTTCTTAAGCTTCCTATTGGCTCACAGTCAAACCTTTGGTCTTTCTCTATATAAGCGCGACACCATCCGGATGGTTGGGCGGTCAGTTATCTCCCCCACAACACTCATCTCTATAAGAAATACCTGAAATTAATATGCAGTAATAAAAATCTTAAAGCAATACCACGCATGAAAATCCTATAATTTTCCCTCATGGCATACATTTCATTGAAGTCCTCACGTACCTAAATGCATTTCGTTAACCCAGCTCTGGATTCATAGCTCGTCAATTCAGTGGATATTAACTCATTTAGATCTAAGTAGTTTAGTTATTTACGATATACTGCTTCTTCCTGCATTGAAGCTCTAAAGTTACTTTGAAACACTGAACTCTCTAACTATAACCTAGCCTCCTAATGCTGTATGCCGGACAATAAATGCTACAAATCCATAAACAAGATGTAAATACGTACTCATTGTACCCGAGTAATCAATATTTAACTCACATTCAGAATTAAACAGTTCTTTAGCAACTAAACTACTTATTGCTATTTACTTTATTACTGAATCTTTCATACGTTGACAACATGGACCTCACAGCGAAATTCTCAAGAAGTAAAACTGATGCAAATTTATCTACGTTGCATTGAATGGCTTGATTTATATCAGAGACGGATAATTTTTCTGGGACGAACTTTGTCAAAGACGAACTTCGTCTGGACGGATGAACCGTCTGTTTGCCCGTATTGCACACAGACAAATTTTTTGACGAACTACCGTCATTTGGACAAGTTCGCCCAAAACGGATGATCCGTGTTTAGTATAAATCGATCACTTCCCAAAGTTTCGAGTTGCGATTGAAACTATGTTTACTTTAGTGTCGATGCGTGATTGAAAATCTGCTCACAGTTTCCATGCGTGATTGAAACTCTGCTCAAAAGTTTCCATGCGTGATTGAAACTCTGCTTCAAGTTTCCATGCGTGATTGGAACTCTGCTTAAAGTTTCCGTGCGTGATTGGAACTCTGAAGCTCTGCTTCAAGTTTCCTTGCGCGATTGGAAGTCTGCTTCAAGTTTCCATGCGCGATTGGAACTCTGCTTAAAGTTTCCATGCGTGATTAAAACTCCGCTTTAAGTCTAGACTTGCCACAAATCGACCTCATGACGATTGTCGTCAAGGGAGGTTATAAGCCATGTCTTGTCATAAACTCATCCTACACTTTTATAAATTATCATTTGCGTGGCTAGATTTCTCTAACACCTGTATCAGGCTGCTTGTTGCGCGTTCAGTAAAGTTTTTCTTTTTCTTTATTACTCTTAACGCATGTCTTTTCTTGCGAATAGTGCACCTTTGACACATAATTTACAAGTGTGATTTCGAACTCTTTTTATTTTGTTCTCTTTATTCCTGTAAATTAAATTTGCGTGCAGGTTGGAGGAAATATTGACTTTCAAGTTTTTAGCTGAGGTTCGCACCGAATCCTTTTATCAACCTAATGAAGCCAAAAATGTTTTTTAGTCAAAACAATAGCTGATATTCACAAGAACTGATCGTTTATCTTGCTTTTATATCTCGGTTGCCAGATGCCGGCAATTACGACAAAAGACTTATGGGTAACTTTGTAAAGTCGAGAGTGTTAAGTTTTCAATTATTTTTCTCTCAAATTTGATGTCCAGGATCTATTTGAATTTATGCTTTTGACTGAGACGAAATAAAGTTTTTGATTATTTTAAGTATGAGGTGAAATCGAAATCTGGGAAAGCGGTACAACTAAAATTTAAGGTAATTCTTTGGTCTCACAAAAACTGGCGATTCGTGAGTTGTGTAGAAATCTGATAATAAAAAATACATGAAACGCAGGAAAAAACCAACTACGCAGTTTTAAATATTTTATGGACACAAGCAGTCTTTTACTTGCCAAATGTAATTAACTTTTGCTGGCGATTTTGACTCGGCTTTGACCGCCCAGTATAAGTTAAGAACATAGCTTGTTTTGTACTTTAGGAACACAAAGGTAAAGCGAGAAAGTGATGAAAATAATTTGTTGTCTGGTATGTTTTTTTGTCGTAATTTTCTAGCATAATTATGATACTGGGCATGTGCAATGACCACGGGCAGAAAAAAAATGCTATTATCTAATGATGACGTCCACGAAAGAGCTCAATTTGTCAAAAACTATATACAATTAAAACTTCAAAACAATTCAAAAACTATTGAACGTTCTAAAGAAGACATATGTTGACTGTACAATGACCAATCGCCGGTTTACACATTGTTTCAGCATACGCCCCCGAATTTAAACCGCAACTGATCTCCAATGGCGCCAGAGAAATATACGAAGGCAGCCATCAATTAATAATAATCTTTTGTGTTTTTGATGTCAGTCGCATTTGATTCCGTGCATGTAAGGACCGATTTCGTATTTAATTGCTCAAAGACGAACCCACCTACAACAGGAAGTATAAAAAGCGGTTGAATTATTTCCGAATATCGCACTTTCTCTCCTCGTACCTACACACGAATATTTTCAGGAGTTGGCCTGAAATTTAAAAATGGAAAAACTGTTTGTAACCGCATTGCTTTTTGTAATCTTCACTTCTTCTTGGCGTATTTTTGCTGTCGGGAAAGAGAATGAAAAACGTTTTGACTTCAAGGTCGAAGAAAGGTTGGCTGAAGAAAACGACAATGGGTTCGACGACCGGGAAACAAGGCTGGAGAGGGAAGGAAACAGAGAGTTTGATGATGCCAACGGGGAAAATTCTGACGACGATTTATTTTTCTCCCAGGATGACGGTGAATTTGAGAAAAGAAAGAGGTAAATTGCTCTTTGAAATGGTTCTAATCCATTCATAAAGTAAGGAATTATGACCTTGTGTAGTTTTTCTATTATCATACAATCTATTTCAACTTCTCTTGAAAGATAAAGTGAAACAGGAAATTTTATACATTTTCAGTATTATCACTGACAAAACAGGGGGTTAGTCTGTTTCAGAGCTTGTTTGGTCTATAGCTGGAAAAACAAACGTGAAAAAATCCATCAAATTGTTGACTTAAAAATAAAATTGTCATCTATGTTTTAGAAGACTAATTCCAAATAATAATTGTGTCATTTTGTAGCCAGGACTCGACACATTCCCATGAAAATTTTAGAGTTTTCTATTTGACTTACGTTTGTAAGGATTTATTATTATCAAGGGGCATTTTGCTTCTTGGAAACTGTCGCTTTCCGGCCAGCATTGTCTCTCGTTATTGTCAGCATGCATTTGTAAAGATCGAATTAACTACACATCTGGCTTCGCAGACGACTCTGTGTTATCTGCATTTCACTTTGTGTTGAAACAAACCTCCCCAGAAAGTATACGTCGATAAGGATTTTTATTCATTTTTGGATTAAAAAACAGCCCAAATTGACCGATCAGCCATAGATCACAATAGTTATCTTTTTTTGAAATAGTTTTATTAAATTTCAAAACAATTATTACAATTTTCATTGGAGTAATTAATATGTATATAGCAGCCTTTCACTGAGTCGCCATGGAACTTAATATCTCAAATGGCAGGATTCAGTGACATCGTCTTCAACACTAAGTTGCTTCTTTATTCGTGTCCAATAGTGTGGATTATAGTGAATGGGACTCCAGCGAACAGCACAAGGTAAATGACGACACAGACGAAGCTGAAGAAGAAGAAGAAGAAGAGAAAGAAGAAGAGGAAGCGGAGAAAGGCCTGTTCAAAAAGTTGTTCGAGAAGTTCAAAAACTGGATTCGCAAAATTGGTAAACGAAAAACACAGGACTGATGCGGGAAATGGCGACTGATCAAACTAACGGACCCCCCAAGAAGCGTTTTAATAAAAGTCCGCGTCATTCTTACCTCGAACAGAAAAGCCATGTTCCCATCAACAAGGGCACGCTCATGTTAAGATTTTTACAAGCTGCTTTCGTTTGCAAACTATGCATGTCTCGCAAAGTTTGCGATATAACTTAGGAATTGTCGCAAGTTTGTATCGTACTATCGAATTATAACTTGTTCATAAATCATCGTCAAGATAGGACGCATGCAATGACCTATTAACTACAGACGGTGATTCTTCGCCGAACACCGTGCTGACACTTAAATTTGAGCGGAGCTTTAAGGTGCGGTCTATCGACACGCATATGTCATATATATATGGTGGCATTATCTGTCCTAGGCAAAATTATTTAAAATTAAGCCTACCTGGTATGACGTTTTTTATAGGACCAGTCTGCTTAAAATGAATTTTTAAGATATAACCAATTAAAGAAAAATTCATTAACACATTATAGTCAATTAATACAAATAGTTTGTTAGGCTCAGACCCTTTAATTCAAATAAAGAGGTTGGCGAAAAAGATGTTTAATATGGCCTCAATGGAGTACAATTTTGCTCAGTCGATACACGATGCATGCTTGGGTTCAAAAACGTAGTCAGGAAGACAGAACAGGTTTAGTGTACCTGGATGTTCCTGGTTCCTATTTTAACTTAAACAACAACCATTTAGTATCAGTTTTTAACATCTCATGTAGCCGCAACGCTAACTTGAGATAGCTTTCTGATAACCAGTTTGTCTCTGTCGGTAATACAGATAACTTTTTTTTTTCGCATAAAAAGGCTTGTACTGATATCAACGTAGAACATCAGTAAAAGTTAAACTGATTACTGCGCTCTGCACACTTGTTTTAGGTCTGAATATCATTTGTCCACAATAGGGAGATCTGGAGAATACGAACCTCACATATCACATGGCCTCGCCAAATGTCTTGCCGGTCATGTTGAATTCAGAGAATTAGAAGCCTGTGTCAAAACCTTCTCCACAGACTGACCAGGCCTCAGCAAACCTGGTCAAACCTCCTTAGTAGATCGACAGACTAAAAGCAAGCCCCTCATAGCCTTAGATCGTTAAGTCTTTATATAGTTTTCGTCGCTCCTTTCTAGGAGATTAATTTTTACCCCCAATTTTTTTTCAAACCATCAAGTTTGCTGAGGCCTGGTTAGTCTGTGGAGAAGGTTTTGACAAACCATCTTTGGGGGGCAGTATCATGAGAGGTCTTCTAAGTTTTTGTGCAAAGTATGCTAAAATTATGAGGATGCACTCTCTCATCAACAAAATACATGTAACCTTAAAAGGATGAAAAAGGCATAAACTCAATCGCTTAGAGATCAATGATTTTTAGTGATTTTCCTCCAAATAACATTGTCAAACTTGAAAACGTCGGACCAATGTTTCCAAGTTTTAGATCACTTCTTTCCTACTTGTCCGTAGCTACAATAGTTGAAAACAACTTTCATGACTAGTACGGTGCATTTTAGCAAGGTTAGGCAACTACTCGTGGATTTCCAATTAATACCAACACCTTCATTGGATGTTCAAGTAGCACTAAATCTTGGTGAGACTGCTCCTTTAACACTACCACAGTGCAGTGTTTATAATGCATCAAATATTTTCGCTCGCACGCGATTGGTCTAAACACGTCACGTGACTGAATATTCCTTAGCTAAAACTGGGGAATATCCCAGAATAATCCACAATTTTCAAAACTGCGCGTCCGGCGAAAAAGATTTCAAGGATAATAAACACAAAAGCCTCCATTTGGCGCGAGAATATGTTCGGATATTTGTAACAATTGGTACCAAGATGTACCATTTCTAAAATATTATATTAACTGACACTGACTCAATACCCTAAAAAGTACCTCAAAAGCTCCGGCTGTGGGCCATTTGAGGCTGAACATACTAAGAAGCACCAAAACCGCAGGCTCACATATTTAGAGTTCCCTCTATAAGGAAAACTAAGAGCTTTGGAGTGACTTAAAGTTTTATACTCTACTGTAAATATTTCGGACGCTTAGAATTTTGAACACTTAAATTTCGGTTAAAGGTTTTTATTCTCGAACACTTAAAATTCCTGTCCGGAATAAGTTAAAATCGTCGGAGGCTTTTTGCAAGTTATGCATTTCTATTGCCCATGCAAGAATCAAGAAGATAACAAGCATTTTTATTTCACCTTTTTTTCTTTACACTTCACCAGGGATGGCGGAGCGTATTTTAAATTGGGAGGGAGGGTTGTGGGGGAGGGGGGGAGGGGGGGGGGTGCTTCTTTGTGTTTTCGAAGTGTCAGTTAAGAGGATTTAGATGAAAGTTTTAAACGACTAGTAGATTTATA